CACTCATAAAAGTCCCCCCATAGCAGAAACCTAATGAATGAAATTGTGTGTGTTGTTGCTGTTTACAACATTTAGAGCAGAATGTTGCTTTTATGTTCCTTGCATCTCCCCATTTGTTGTCTGAGTTAGATGGATGTAGCTTGTGTTCTGTTGCCAAGGGTTTACAGAATATAGTGAGTGATATTTGAGTGACATGTGATTGTGATCTGGTCACTTTTTGTGTACGTGTGTGCTTGGATGTAGATGGAAACATCCAAACACACCCCGGACTCCAGGCTATGGCTGCTAAATCCTCTGTGAGAGCTCCCGTGTGTAATCCAAACATTTAGAGCTAATTTAAGCATGCAGGCAGGAGCAGCATCCTTTAGGAAACAACAGCTTTCTCTCTCTCTCTCTTGCTTTTGCGCTCTCCATCCTCCACTGTGTGTGTGTGTGTGTGTGTGTGTGTGTGTGTGCAATCCATATGTGTTTGTGTGTGCATGTCTCGTCGCTGGAGGGAAATGAAAGCACTCAATCACTCACCTGTCAGAGTACTTCAAATTCTGTCCATAACACACATGAACACACACTCTGACACACACATACACACACACACACACACACACACACGGACACATATGTGCATACACACTCACCCCTGAGGGTTTGACAGGACTGGCCCTTTATTGACTCCCTTGATCAAGGAGACAGCAGATCCATTTAATAGAAGCTTCACACACACACACACACACACACACAGGCATTGAAATCAAAGTGGAGTCACATCTGCTCTCCACACAGCTCCTCTGTTGCCTTTTCCTCTCATACAACAGAGCTGGTAGTCATTTAAAACTGTGGCTATATTGGGTGTAGAATTAAATTTTGAAAGCCAATGCTAATAGATGTCATAATGTTTTTCATTGCACATTATGACAACAGTTTCCTCGTCATAGCCGCAGTGTCATTACACCAAAACAGCTCTGATTCACCTCTTCGCCACATCTTGTGTTATTGTGTGGAGGGTAATCATGTCACGATACGAGTCCAGCCCGGGCTATAGGCATGTTCTGTTGGCCTCGGCCCCTGTGCTCCGCAGTTGGCCATGTTTTGTGCTGAGTGTTTTGGAAGGCCAGTTAGCCAAGAGGGTGCTGGGAAGAGATGTGACAGCTGTGTTGGTCACGGCTACTCTGACCTTCACACGTCATCTTGATGGATCATCAAGGCTGTAACGATATACTGAACCTGTTGTGTAGGCCTGCGCTAGCCTGATTATCCACTGGTGATGATCTGGTCACATACTGTACTGATATCACTGCTCCAAGTTCAAACTGTGGACGGTCACCAGCGAGGCTGCATATCTGAATGAGATTTATCTTGCAAAGAAAAGGAAGTGGATTGGCTAATGCAGCAACAGGCTCTCTGCCATTAAGAGAAGAGTTATCACGGGAACACAAAAACATGTGTACGTACACAGACAAAAGAGAGAGGCACACAATCCAGCCTGCTATTTCATATATATTCTACCTCTCAACAAATGGATTGGACTAAATGTTCTGAGCTTCTCGCAAGTCTCAAAGCGCTTTACTTTGTGTGTGTGGTGTAGCCCGTCCCCTTGAGATGGCACTTGTTCCATCAAGTCAAGGAAGAAACCATTTAGTAGAATGACAAACACACACATATAGTCACACACATGCACAGCACCGAGATGCCGGGAGGATTTGAATTGCACTTAGACAAACGTTTCTCACACAAGTTCTTTATTCCTCCACCCAATCCTTACTTTGCCCTGTACATACACTTACTCACATACAAAGGTACTTGCACAGAGATTCCATTTTGTCAGCTTTCAGCCCCAGATCATGTAACAATAAAAGATGCTGCCCTGCAGTTAAACACTGTCAGTAAATCACAGGGCAAAGAAAGCTGGGAGAAGCACTTATTTTTAAGCAGCATGAGAGACCACACTGGGGG